CTAGACAAAGTGATTGTTTATACTGCACATCAGTTTGGTATTGTGAATTTAACTGGTGTTAATTTCATCTTTAACATCAAAGTTCTACTCAAAATCAGGTTCACATGCTGAACAAATCAAGTTTGATCCTGAAATGCCTGTGCTTCTCCTGCTGGGAAAATGTGCTAAGCTTGAGTTCACTGTCAGAGCCCTGCAAACTGCATTAGCTATGCTAATTTGAGCAATTACAGGTAAGACTTGACCTGCCTAAGGTGAAGAAAACACCTGTGCCGAACGAGCAGGATTTAGGTAAACTCTGGAGCTCTATTTGAGGAGCAAACTGTGTGTTAGATCTTGCAGGAATGACAATAATCGAGTCAAAGTGTAACATGCAAACACTTCTCTCTCTGTGATAATATATACTGACACTTCAATGTGGGAGGCTTGGACTGAGCCCCTGAAACACTTAGTTGGTGCTGGCAAGGCAGTTGTGAAAAATGGTAGACACCACAAGATTAATCTATGTAGTCCACAGCTCTTCTGCTGATAGATTTGGTGACTGAACAAAGGGGAGAAAAAGTTTCACTAGTCTTAGACTAGCATAAAAATGGCAATGTCTGGTACACTTCTATCCTTCATCACAAAGCTAGACACGAAGACCCAATGTCTGGCCCAGACAACTAGACTAGAAGACCAGCCGCAATGTCTAACTAAACTCTGTCCTACTAAAAACCTGCAAAACTACAAGACAAGTAGCAGCGTCAAGCCAAGCTCTATCCTACATTAAACCAAGCCAGGTTAGGAAGGTCCTGGCATTAAAATATCTGGCTCTGATCTACAATGCTGAGATGAAATTAAACTAATTAAAGAAATTTTCCTCTTATCACAATTCATGCAGATTGTTTACTCTAATTGTACATATCACCAGACACCAATCTTCACACAGCGTCAGACCAGAAGGAAAAACAGGTTTGACTGGTATAAAACGGAATATGAGCACATAAGGAAACTATCATCTTCATGGTCAGCTGGAAATACCAATTACTCAGTCCCATTAACCTTAATTACTTTCATACATTGAACAGCAACAAGGAAGAACTTGTTAGTTCACAGAGTAATTATCTACAGGTGTAACAATATGATGAGGCTGTGATATAATACGTATCCCCAATAATAAGGGTGCAATACGATTCGTATTCATAACTTCATATTCACTCCCTCTTCACAGTTGAATCACAGCCCTGACTTGTTTATTTTTAAATTTTAGTCAGCAAAGATTGGATATTGTAAGGGAGAAACACATGACACTGTGCAAATAATGCTATTTATAGCCAACAAGGCAAGACTAGAGAATCTGCTTACATTTGTTCTTGAACGGTCTCTGTTACTATTCACGTTTTCACATCAAAATAACTTGTATTTGTAATGTTATGTAATCTATGTACTGCAGTACAGGAGTTGTCGTATGTTATGTAATATTACACAACTATTATCCAAGTAGTCATTCCATGCTGGTGCCTCCAAATAGAGGTCTTCAATACTTGACCGATTTATAACAACAGAACTGCAATGTGTATCGTCATCTGTCTACAGGGTGGGGAACTCCACACTCTCTTGACTCAGCGGACATCAAACATTTGCTCAGAGGCCGTTTTACCTCTGCTTGGGTCTCTGCTTCTGTATCACAGATGACCTGGACTTTCTTTGTCCAATTTCATGGCTCTGAGCATTTTCTTGTGAGGAGGCATGACAAGAATATATGAAAAGGCTAAAGGAATTATCTACCAAACAGACACAACTTTATGATCATATAGAATAAATATGAAATTTGTCCAAACATATTTTAGTGGTTCAACTGCACCAGAAAAATACTTATGGAAGGAATGTTCAAAGATAAGAAAAACTCTCCTGATTTAATCAAAATAAGTTTATTGGTGCAGTTCCCCATTCATATTTGGAACCTTTTTCCTTATTTTTGTCAGGCATAAACATTATCGGCCAAATAATAAGTTATAGCTACTCCACCAGCATTGAGGTTTTCCTATTTTTGATGAGCATATTAACACATTTTCACCAAATGAATATAATTTAACTAAAATATACAACACAGATAGCCATCATTGAATAATGACAATGAATGATCCAGGATGGCATTACTTTATTCAGCCACTTTTATTACAACTGCAGCCAGATCATAGCAGAGGTCACCAAGAATGGGCTTCAAACTTTGTACCCATACAGTCTCAGCCAAAACATATTTTAGTCTGCTAGCAAACTTGTGTTTCGTAGATAAGTATCTAATCCAACATATGGACTATTTTAACTGAGCTCAGGAACAAATATGAACAAATTTGATAAAACTTGAGTTTAGCTAAATCAGTAAATGTTAAGAATCAAACCAAGGTCTCTTGCATGATGAGGCAATGCTTTAACCAGTGGCCTTCTCTGCTGATGATGTAAACAGTATTCAAACATAACAGGAAGTGAAGAACCAGGTGACCTCTAGCAAAGGTCATGGCACTAAACTGCAGCTGTGGCAGTAGTATAACTTCCAGTCAGTTACTATTGTATAATGTCACTTAACGATACGAACTGAGTGACTGCTGCATAGTGATAAATAAACACACTTCCACTTTATCCCACAAGTATTCACAATGTTTCACATTCTTTCACTTGAAAGACACCTCTCAAAGCAATCAGTCTCTTGCAGGAATTTTAAAAGTTTGGATATATTTGATGGTTTGGAGTTAGGGACGGGGCATAGTTTCAAACTTGTTTTACCAATAATCATGGGAGAGGACCTGAAAAATAGACTTCACATACTGTATTCACCTGACATGCTTTAACCACCAGACAACCCCACTGCTCTTATGTCTTATGACAGAGAAGTGGTTGACAGTATGATGGGCGACCCAGTATGTTTGTCCATGGAATGATACTAACAGTCATTCAACGACACTCTGTAACCACCAAGTCCTTATTGCCATGTGCACCTGCTGTTCATAACAAGACTATTTGGTCTCCACCTCTCAAAGGACCAACAAATTCTATTATACATTAGTCCTTCACAACAAACCAACAACCCAATGCTTCAAATCATCTCGAACAATTATAGGGTTACATACTAGCCAAATGCTTCAGATATTCCTCCTGGCCCCACTAAGCAACTTTGAACAATATTTCTGAACGTGCATCACAAACCTGAACAGAAAATAGGAAATTGATCAAAAGCAAACACTATTCATAATCTACACAACACCTGTCGCTGATTCGAACAAATATCGAAAAATTGATTCGGTGGGAGGACTAAAGCTGAGATAACACAATACTCATCGCTATGTATGTATACACAGTTTCCACCAACCACCACAGCACAATACACACAGACTGTTTAACCTAGCTACTGTCCATAACAGTCCGCTACAAGTTGAGTGTTGTGACACCATGGAGCTGTGGCATCATGAAACAGTCCTCTGCTACTAGGATACCCACACAAACATACTTATCTCATACAAACACAACATGGTTTTCAATTTGTATGGCAACCAGTTACAAGGAAACAGGGCAACATGTCCATAATACGAAAGGAACCAAAATTATTTCAAACTGATATTTTTTTCAATTTCACGTTTCAAAGATAAATGTAAAGAAACATTTAACAAACTTTGAGATTGGCATGTATTTTCTTACCCAAACCAAAAAAAGTGAAAACACAAAAGATGGAAACATCTACATTATCTCAACTTATCCACAGTTGATATTTTTTCTGACATATCCGTGTAAACAATTCCACTTAAGATGTTTCCAGTTTGATAGACCAAACTGACAGCTTTAAGTGTAGAACGTCTAACAGAGACAGATACTGCTCCAGTAAATCATAGCTCCTTATTCTACATACTCGAGAGAAGCCTAATATTACCCAGATCTCAGCACTAAGCTGGCCAGGACAAAAAGCCATTTTACATTTTGTTCCTCTGTAGGGATCTGATCCCTATACAGGGCGTCAGTGAGCAAACCATTACTCTACTATCCCCACTCCCTCCATTTCTCAATAGCCGCATGAAACTATCTCTTTGTTCCCCTGGACTGGTAATGAAGCCACATGACCCTGCTGAATGGGCAGAGCAAGTAAGATATATACACCTAAACTTAACAAGAGTATGTACTGAATGTACAATGATGAATAGCCTTCTGTCTGCGCTTGTCATACTGGCTTAAGCCCAAGTAATAACTTCATTTACCTGCAAAATTGAAAAGGATGACTTAGTTTACAAATAACCCTAGGTTTGCCATACAAAGGCTTGTTTACCATATGATCTGATAAGAAACAATCAATGAATCATGACGACAGATATCTATCTCTATACAATAAGGAGATCTTCGGCAAAAAACATCTTGTTGGCTTATGTTCATCCAATACTTGTTTACGCCCACAGATTGACCTTTACCAATAACGATAAGACCATGCGGCAAAAGGACGTGAGCGTCTCTTATACACTCATGTACTGTTGTCTTGTTGTATTCATTCCTGTTGCTCATAACATGTAATTTTCAACTGAAGAATGAGAATAGCAGGGATATGTGTTTACAGTACACAGACACCGAGCCAATCAGTCCTTGTCCTCAAAGAATGAGTGAGTTTTAGTTTTACACTGCTTTAAGTAATATTCCAGCTATATTATGACAGGGACAACATGTACCCATGTGGGGAATCGGACTCAAGTCTTTGGCATGATGAGCAACTCTGAGAACTTCATTTCTGCTGTCTGCATACTTTCTATAGCCATGTCACGCATGTAGACTGTTAACATGTTTCAAGAAAGTTCTAATATCTCAGGTTTACTTATGGTCAGACATAATTGGTGATGAAAAACAATTTCTATATGTGCACTGTTGGGTCGTATACACTTGGAGCCTAATTTGGCGATCAGTAAGAAAGGTGGCACTGATGATAAACTAATCAAATAATATGCATATTAGCTCCTCTGTTCAGTGTAAATCTCAAAGACAAAAAGACTCACCTGTTCGTCTGAAAGTCCTTCCTCTTCCATTGATTGTTCCAAAAGCCGGTACCTGAATGCAAAAGTCAGTTGTTTAGTCTAGGTCAAGGTAAGCTTAATCAGGGTCAGGGTCATTGCACAAGCTCAACAGATACAGAATGCATCATGATAGTCAAAAACAATTTTTAAAATTGTCAAAAAATGCCTAAATTTCCACAATTTCCTTAGGTGACAAGACAAACATATTCATTCATTTTACTGAACTAGAACTTTTCTTACTCAATGACCATCCAACTACAGACAGACAGGTAAGAAAACCAAATGTTTCTCTCCTTTCCTTCATTTTTGTGAAAGAAGATGAACAGTGACTCTAAAATATGAGTATTCAATTCCTACAAAGAAGTGAGTGAGTGAGTGGGTTTAGTTTTACGTTGCACTCAGCAATATTCCAACTATATGGCGGCAGTTTGTTAATAATCGGATCTGGACCAGACAATCCAGGCATCATCAGCATGAACATCAATCTACGCAAATGTTATATGATGATGTGTCAACCCAGTCAACGAGCCTGACCATCCGATCCTATTAGTCGCCTTTTACGACAAGCATGGGTTACTGAAGGTTAATTCTAACCCGATCTTCACGGGTTCCTACAAAGAAAGAGCTAAAGCACATATTATGAACTTGAAAACATTCAAAGATTAATAGTCCAAGAATGTATACCACAAAACAGTCAGTCAAGGAAAGATAACTCTACCTGAAGACAAAACTCTATAATGTAGAAAATTAGGCAAGGCTCCATTCCAAACCAGGAAAAAAAAATATTATGTTTGAAATGGCCTGCATGACAATGAAAACTATTTGGTTTGGGAGGGTGTAAGCAATAATGCTGTTGTTAGTGAATCAGAACTTCTGTTTTCCTATTTCTGATATCACTACCACTGAAGAGGATAAACCAAAACAAATCCACACGTCACGTTTTCTTCGTCTAAATGGGTCATCCTGTTCATATTTTGGACAATGGTTTCTTTCAACAAGTAATCCTTGCCAAGCAGCAACATGGTCCTCATGTAAAGATCTTTTGATTTAGAGAGTCAATATTGAACCAGAAGGTGTATTAGAACGTCAATAACCCCAACAAAGATTCACATGAAATGTGAGGAGATGCAATTCTCAAAAATTATATTGTTCTGCAAACATTTCTGACAACACTGACACTATTTGCTCAGCCTCGCTGCAGAGCAGATGGGTGTTCTACTATGCATCTCATCTCAATAAATACAGCCCATGGAAGATTACAAGACCACAGTTTAAAGTTGTGTCAGTATTTGGGATAACGTTCTCACACCACAACAAGTGAATTTTTTTTTCCCTAGAAACTCCTTGACCCTAAGGATATGAAATTCATGTTTACAGACTTGGAATTGAAACCATGAGGTAGATTATTTCAACATCATCTTAGAAATGTTTACCTTTTGTGACTACTTTAATAACTTGAGTTGAAGTCAATAATCCTCACTAAATGCTGACTGATGATAGTGACATAAGATTTCTGCATTAAAACACTTTGAACTGAACTTCTTTAGTAAAACTAACATAACTGGTTATATGCTGCTTTTAATCAAAATGGTGCACATTTGTGTTTCTACCACAGTAAACTATATGAAGAGGCCTGAAAAAATAGTATGTTTTTTAGTTCATGATTGAGTTGACATTTAAGACAAAACTTTCTAACTGGATCTGTACTGCTCTGAAAAACCTAAAGCTCCAAGATGTATATATTTCTACTCTATTCCAAGATAACATGCTATTTCCAAGTTATCATATAAAAATGGAGTTATACTGAAAATACGAAAATGTCGTTGTGCCAATGACAAGTTGATTTTGTTTTGGCTCCCTTGATGCGACCATGTAACAACAATTTATGTTCTCAGCAGAAGTATAAGTACAGATGTTGTCCTGTAATATCTGAAGCCTGAGACAGAAGATGAGCAGTATTGCCTACAACAGGATCCATCCCACTTCCTACGTTGTCGGTAACCACCAGAAACCTGGCTGGATAGCCGGACACAACATCAGCTGTTGCTGTCCTGGTCCCCATGAGATAACAACATTTAAACCATGGCTCATTTGTTTCAGACCAGGGTTTAACTGACCGCCAAACCAGTTAAACCCCGGGCCAGAACTACTTTCCAAACAACAAACAAGGAATTTGCGACAAAGTTTTTCCGGAATAATTTACATTTTCAAGAGGTTTTTTTCACTTGAAGTGGATATTGAGGGAGATATTAACACGAGGTGAACACTGCCGTCAGACGGAGCCGCCACTGTGCTCGATGGAGTTATAACATGTCGGTTGTAACAGTTTTCAGAAATTTTGCCGGGACACCCTGCACAACCCGGCGTAAGTATTCTCAATGTACTCACAGGTACTGGCTACATCTTCATCACTGCTTGAATTCATCATAACGTACATATCCAGTCCTATTTGTGAAGATGGAGGCGATGTCAATGTCAAATACGTGTGCTTCCATACTGTACATGTGCTCGGACCAAAGTGGCGATACGCATGCATGTGCCTTGAGGTATTCAGAAAACTAATAATCACTCATGTCAAATGGCCCATGCGAAAACAATAGTAGCCCGAAACAGGAATAAGTATTCGTTAAGAATTTGAAGTAGTTTGAAATGCACGTGCAGGTTATGCAAGACATGCTATCCAGCGTCTGACGTCAGTTGCTTCGATGGGAAAGCCTGTTCACAAGCATGAACGGAAAACATACCTACACAGCAAATGTAGATCGCTATTTTAACTTAAATTTACAGAATAATCAATGAAGTTAATACCATCTAAAGATGGCCATGGTTTAAATAGGTTAGACCACAAGGGCCCCCTGTGTTTAACCGTTGAAATGCTGAGTTAAATCCCTTAGTGCTACGCGTACGCGCTGAGGGATTTAACTCAGCATTTCAACGGTTAAACATGGGGGCCCTCGTGGTCTAACCTATACATAGCACACAGTTCATTAGCCGGGGTAGACTAACGTTTAGTCCCTGAATACATATAATCTTGATAGTAGCAAATAAACCCATTTAAATTGAAAAGGAGCCCCAGTGAGACCAGAGATTCAGGGAGGAAATCTAGACTTGCTTCATATAGGGCTTCAGCATTGCAGGAAGGACTAGGCAGTAGGGAAAATAATGTGGTTCAGGGACTGTGAGACAGACTATAGCCGGGGATACAAGGAAATACTGACACACCATGAAGGAAGTTGCATTGTGTTACCACACACTTGGAGATAAAGAAGGGCTTTGGGATACTTTGTAGTTTGTTGGCCTGGAAAATTGTTTATTTTTTGTTTTATCATTGTTTGGGACACTGCCAACTGGAGGCCAAAGAAAGATAACAAACAAATATTTTGCAAGCATGTTTTCTCTAAATTCTAATATAATCAACATTGATTGATAAAAACATTGTTCAAACATGAAACATGATGTGTGGTGTTTTGATACACCTAAAATCACTCTTTACGGAATAACAGTTACAACAATCAGTATGAAATTCTTCTCCATCAGCTAACACAAACTAGTTTTCCTACAATATTTCCTGACTTTCTATGGCCTATTTCTACTTTCAGTATTGGTTTAAAGGTAATAGATCTTTAACATTGATCAGACATATTCATGTTAGTGGGTGACTGGAGAAAGACATGTTTAAAGATCATCCAATATTTTGTTCCACAGGTATGGGAATTTACCATATTCACTGCAGTATGCAGTCGGTACAAAGAAAACTGACACAACAACAAGAGTGTAGGGACTGACATGTTGGTTGGTTGGTTTATTGTTGAACCCTGCTCTCAGCACTATTCCAGCTATATGGAGGCGATCTGTAAATAATCGAGTCTGGACCAGATAATCCAGTCATCAACAGAATGAGCATCGATCTACGCAATTGGGATACGATGACATGAGTCAACCAAGTCAGCTAGTCGGACCACCCGATCCAGTTAGTCGCCTCTTCACGGGTAGACTGACATGTCCATATTCGGTCTTGTAAGAGGGCGCTTACAAAAATACTTATAGACTGGTTAGTCTGGGGTGTTTATTGGAGCAGTGCATTTAATACAGTAAGCACGGTAGGTCTACTAGTCCACAAAGTGATCTCAGTGCTAGGACTGTTATATAAGTCTATGTTCAAGTATGTTACAATCACCTTAGCTTATAAGCTGGTCTGTGGAATGGTCTCTGGGCTAGTCAGGTTCAGGATTACACTTTTACTATTAGATACAAATCACCTCAGTGGGACATCATTTTACGAAACAGTTAAAACAAAATAAAATAATTCCGCACCCTGGTAAATGTACAGTTCTAGAGTTAACCCTTGCACTTCTAGGATTTTCCAATAAAGTTGGTTCCTTTTTATTATTTTTATTACGTTAAGTTACGAAATGTTTCTCTGAAAAATGTTTTCATTTCATAAACTAGATTGGTTGGTTGGTTTGTTGTTAAACGCCGCACTCAGCAATATTCCAGCTATATGACAGCGGTCGGTAAATAAATGAGTCTGGACCAAACAATCCAGTGATCGACAACATGAGTATCTGGAATGTGTCAAACAGAGACTATCGTCTGTTTAACAAACGATCATAGATTCAAATCGCTATTATTGATTTGTATTACAAGGGGTAAGCACAGTAGTTGGAACAGTGAAACAAAAGCACGTGCAGACATGGTGAGCGTTAATTTAGACCAGCCCTACTTGTTTTCGGTGTTTCATTTAATGTGCATATCCCCTTGTAATACAAACCAATAATAGCGATTTGAAACTATGATCGTTTGTTAAACAAATTTTATCCTAAGTTAAATAAAATTCTGAGATTTATATGTCCAATTGGCAAGGTAAAATCATGAGGATTCGCAATCTTAATTTCACTTTATTTGATTTACTCTTTAGTTTAAAGTGAAATTCATCGGTACGTTTTCACTGCAAACAGACTGTAGATGTTAGTCTACAAGGAACCATGCTCGTCATGAGAAGTGACAAAAAGGATTAGCTGGACATGTTGAGTAACTTGGTTAAATGCATATTAATAATAATTATTATCACAGCCCAAAAGCATGGATCTACATTCAATGTACTCTCTGAGCATGACTTAGTTATTTACAGACTGCAGTCCAAAGCTGTAATCAGAGACCAGTGTTCACGAATGGTGTTTTAAGGTAACAGGACATTGGGTCCTGCAAGTTTCAGGTGTCTGTCTGACCCATTGAAAATTCACAGGACCCACAGAATAAAATTAAACATACATTTCAGAATTAACATTTCTTATAACTGGCACTGAAATTATTAACAAACACAAGATATATAAACAGCAAACAAGTGTCACATGTCAGATATAACAACCTAAGTCAAAGTCATTGTGAAATATACAGTCAGACACTGGGGCCGGCGGGTTGTACACTTCTATCAGACCGTTGGCAAATCTGCCGGATTTGTCAGAGGGTCAGACACTATTCGTGAACACTGAGAGACCATATATTAGATTATATGGTCTCTGCTGTAATATTACTGGTTGTGGTGTTATACAACACACAAACAAACCAACCAAAGGTAATCAGGCAGGATGAATGTTGAAAGCCTTTGAGCAGCTTTTCCCAGATTTACAGGCGTACCACCATGAACAACCATCACATGACCCCCCGCGTCAAAGCAAGGGATAATCCTGGTTACATGTCATACCTGCCAGCATAATAAGATCGCTATCAATCATTGAATATTACTCATATTTAGTGAACAGTCGATTAATGTGTGTCTGTAGAAACAGCTGTTTCCACTGTTGATCAGCTGGTGGAGCACATTAACCAACCACATTCCAACACAAACACGACAGCCTGAGACAGGCATTGATGTTTCAAATACTGTTGGTCTGCTACAAATATTTCCACAGAAAAGGACAAATAATTTAAGATTAATGTGTACAAATTAAGTCCAAAAATTAGCTGGACAAGTGTAAATATTTCAGTAAAAAAGTATTTCACACCGAAAGATAACCCATGAAAACTCCACACTGAGGCCTAAAAATAACTCAAAATTAATTTGACTTTCACAATATATGCATCATTCAGAAATATCTGAGCTTCTTGAAGAAGTACAGAAGTTAGATTCTAAGAAGCATCGTATTGGGCTATAATGCATTTAGATCATACATTTGGCACCTAGATCAACACCACTCATCAAGAGGTATTACTTATCAAAAATACCTTGGTGCCCATGTTTTTTGTTTCATCCATCAGTAGATATTTATATAAGACACAAAAATGGTTGCAGTGCCACTAAAATACAAAACTTTACATCTGATCGAGGAGAACCTTCAACAAACATAGCATCAGAGTATCAAGTCTGTCTGTCTGTCTTTAACTAACACTGCTATTGGTAATACATAGATTTGTGTTCACTTATTGATGCGGACATGGAAACTACATAAATGAAACCCCCAAATATTAACGAGAACAGTTTCAGTATGCAAGCTTAACCAACTGACAGAGTAGATGTTTTAGTAATCATTTTGAGTTGGTGTAGGCAAACTATCAAAAATGACATTTTTCTTCTGAAAGTAGTTTTCAAAATGAAGCTGAATGTCAAGGTGTCCTGAACATGACTTGATGCTACAAGTGAATCCAAGGATCCAAGATTCAAAACCTATAGAAGGAAACCAAAAAGGATCACACTTAACTTTAAACACTGAAAAGGCAACCATTAGGCTTATTTAGGGGTAGATATGTAAAATTACTTCATGAGTGGGTTAATATACCTGATGTCACCTAGTCATTATTGCCTGTTATTGAAGCAGAACCAGTTAACTGCTGCTACATGCATTTGGGTGTGTCAGTTAAACATACAATGGTTTTATTGAAGGTGTCGGTGGTTGCAATAACAAAGAATTACTCAATAAATGCAGACAAAGAACTTTGCTGGCTCTTCTCCTGGTCAATACCTTTACATTGTGGCATAGCTGGTTTAGTTATGTTTTATACTCGTATTCTCCTGTGTGTATTGATTCGGCATGCAATATGTATGCTTGTCATGATACACACACACTGATCTCTATCAAAATATCCTCCACATGTAGAGGAGCACCCAATCATACGAACATGCCACACGACACACTGCCTCATAACACTATACATCAAAACAAATTTCTCTTCTGAAAAAGTTCTCACAAAAATCTACTGAAGGTTACTTGTTTTGAATGTATGTATGCACACATGTATGATCCAATATAAAGGCCGAATTCCACTTTTGATCATAGCAATGAAAGACCAACGCTTTACCCAATGTTAAGTCAAGTTTGAATCACAATTCTCTCCAAATTTGCACAAGATAAAGGTAAAATGTTAAAAACATTTATCATATAACACTTCAGTTATTAGTGGTGGTCCGATTAATTGAAATAATCGAAGATTGGTCGCAATGACTAAACGACCAAGCAATCGATCATTTCTCATAATCGAACACAAACAATTCTGGAACACTTGTTTGCATTAACAATATTTTTCACAAGGTTGGTTTTGTCTATTACATTTCATAAACATTACAAGCTCGTTCCAAGTCAGGATTGAATTTATCTTAAAGACTCCAGGAAATTTATGTTCCTAACATACTAGTCATCCTCTAAAGATGTTAAATTTGCACATGCATTTTGTGGAATTTGCAAAAAGACTCATAAGAACTACATGTTTTTTCTTTGTTTTTTTGTGCAGTAACAAACATAACCAGAAAAATTTGATAAATGATGCTGACCAATTATTTTCGATGATTGATCGGTTGTAATGAACCAATCATCAATTATGAGATTTTATCCAATTCCCAACACTATCAGTTACCAAACACTAAATATATTTTAAAATGAAGAGGAATATTAAGCAGTAAAGTTAATAGGTCCCTGTCATAACCCTTAACACTGAATAGATACACCTTTACATCGAGTGGTCAAATGCAACATATGTCATAATGGGCATAACATCTTTTAAGTACAAACTCTAGGAGTTGGGGGTTAAGTCCCATTTGGGATGTGAATCCACACTATCAGGGTGAGACACCAGCTGAGTGAGTCAGATCGCAGACTTTGTGACCTGGAGATTAGCTGCCTGCCTCACCCTGAGAGTGTGGTTTCACATCCTAGGAAGGACTTAACCACAAACTCCTGGAATTTGTACTAAACTAAGAAAGTGTTATCCCAGGTATAGCATCTGCTTAAGCTGAATGTTAGCAAAAAACGGGTCAAAACCAAAGATCAGGCGGATTTAGGATATTTACCTTGCTTAGTATATGACCTATGAAAGAGGCAACATCTACTGAAAGAACAGGACTGCCTTTGGTTGGTAGAACCAAGCATTTTAACAGAGGCAAGGAACCTTTGACTTGCGACATTAATAATAGATTTTACAAGGTGTGCAATCTGCTGAACGTCAAGCTGACAGAGAATTGAATCAGTCACTTGTTAAGTGTTTTTGTACAACACATCCATGTCTCCTCTCCCCCACCTGTTTACATGGGCTCCAACAAGTAGTCACAAGCTCTTATCTGTGCAGAAATTCTTGCACGCTTCAACATTGTAATCCACTGGGTAACATCAACGATAAACTTTGTGCTCTTGCATTCCAATATTTCATTCTGCTTAAAATACACAGAATATGCGAGTTATTTCCACCATTTTCTATCATGCATCATACTCTAGCACTAAGTGATGATGAAAGGGACGTTGGCCATATTTATACTGATAGCAAGTCTGCTTAAAAACTTGTTACTTCAACAATGGGTGGAAATTGTGTCACTGATAATGACAGTAATAATCAAATATTGACTTCTATGCAACTGTAAATTATTTGAGCAGATCAAAAATAACCATCAAACAAAGCTGAATGCGTTATCAGATCTGTATTGACGCAGTCTGTTTTCATTGACGTAAGCAATAAAAACGGGCAAGATAACGCTTTTTGCTGTCAAGGTGCAATACAACACCCCCTAAGGAATGATATTCAATCATTTTCCTCTTTAAATTTGTTCAAAACAGACCTTTTCAAAGAAGGCATTCCAAAGTAATCACAAACTTTCCTGCAGGACAAATTTCTTCCAAAATAAAACAGATTTTAAGTTAATCTGAAGTACCTGAGCTGAACTCAGTACCTTTTATCTGAGTATTACAGAGTATGAATGTTCCATTGTTCAAATAGATCATACTATCCCTTTCACATTCCCATAGTGAGTGAGTGAGTGAGTGAGTGAGTGAGTGAGTGAGTGGGAGATTGGGTGGGTGAGTGAGTGGGAGGGAGATTGAGTGGGTGGGTGGGCGAGTGGGAGGGAGATTGGGTGGGTGGGAGGGAGACTGGGTGGGTGGGCGAGTGGGAGGGAGACTGGGTGGGTAGGTGGGTGGGCGAGTGGGAGGGATACTGGGTGGGTGAGTGAGTGAGTGAGTGAATAAGTGACTTTTTATGGTGCTTTTAGCAATATTCCAGCAATTTCACAGTGGAGGACTCCAGAAATGGGCTTCACATAGTGTACCCATGTGGGGAATCAAGCCTGCGTCTTTGTCATGACATGCGAACACTATAACCACTGTGCCACCCTACCGCCCATTCCCCCAGTGAGATGAACAGCAGGTTGAACATACAACAGTACAAACTATATCCACTCAACACTGGACAACTGGTCTACTGTAGTGGTGGTTACATCTAGCTTACCTTGTTTCCCGTTCCTCAGCCTGAGAAATGAGATTTGAGTAGTAGTTTTCCAAGGTAACCTTGGCTTTTGTCACCTTGTCAATGGTGTGGTTTGAGATAGGCACTTGTTCTCCTACTGTGGCCATCTTGGAGCGACGACTCTGAAATCAAATGTCATAATACATCATTACTGATGATAAATAAAAAGCAGTTTTGTCACCAAATCGATTAAGACAAAGGTTAATACATCCTACTGCAGTTTTTCAATATAAGTAGCCAAGAGATAAATTTTATAAACAGATATCATGACTTAAACACAACTTCATAAGGCTATGTTTGGTCAATACATATTCTTCTCAAAAGAAGTATCACGTAATTCTATTATAAAGAAAAATTTAACGAATAATGCCATTATAAAAGCAGATTGATTATAGCAATATGAAAAAATCAGGTCGTGAGTTTCTTTTAGGCATTGTTTTTGCAGTAGAAGCATGGAAGCGTATTGAATAATGTAACATATCCACCAGACAATGTATACAGAACAGACATCCCCTGAAAGTGTTGCCGCTGTTGTATCATAGTATCCCGTGTCTAATCCCATCACGTGACTATTTCCACATTTCCATGATACAGTTAGCTTGGCAATCTACAGCATTTGACAGTACACTATTTCTGTTATCTGCAGATGCTGAAATATAGCCAGAGAGAAACTCCACTCCGCCTCTTTGTTGTCCTTCCTTTGTTACATCATCTATAAACATCATCTATAAACAATCAACTTCTTCGTATTTTCTCAGATAGAATGTAGTTTATGATCTGCTTTATAAAACAGGACCATCATGCAACGTTAATGACTGACAAATTTTCTATGAAGGACATGTCAGATGTACAGATCACTTATAGCTCTCCCTACTAATGATATTGTCGGCTGTCTCCTGACTACTTCAAAACTTGTGTTAGCTTTAATCAACCCACTGACACCCGTTCACACCTCACAAGAAGTTGAAGACTGACCAGATTCTTTCAAATTACAAAGTTAATGTGTCAAGGAATGGTTTGAAATACTTTCATTGTGTGTTGTTTAACGCAACACTCAGCGATATTCAAGCTATATGGCGGCTTTCTGTAAATAATTGAGTCTGGACCAGACAATCCAGTGATCAGCATCATGGGCATTGATCTTCGAAATTGGGATACGATGACATACATGTCAACCAAGTTTGAAATTCATGAAATATTCATATTCAAAAAAAATATATATATATAATCACACGCATTCTTTTTGCATGCCTACCAAGTGTTTGGCCCCTATATGACATATACATTCTGACTGTGTGATTTTACATTATGCATTAACTTTTCCCTAAATAAATCAAGTCGTCAATTACGGATCTCATCAATCACAATCCAAATTGTCAGTTCAGATATGAAAGGGCCATGTTCAGCAATCAACAGAAGTAACCCAAAACAGTTGATTACATCTTTCAGCAAATCAATGTTCTCCAGAGACTCAGTTGACATCTGTGAAAGGAGTAGTTAGTTTAGACATGAAACTGAGAGATGAAAGTCTGAATTCTACCAACTATGGCGTCATACTTCATATCATGTGACAGTATGACTGACAAGCGTGACGGTAACTTGCCCAAGTCCTGTGGTGAGGTCCACACCACCTATTCAAACCTTCAGAAATTGATTACAGCAAAATCGATCTAAAGTGACATGCTTTGTTAATATCATATTGCACTGTATTGACTTCAGTGCTGAAATGCAAACCACCATTAAGCGACCAGCATACACAGCATGTGCATTGATATGGATTACACAAATTGATCAGCTCTACTGAATTAGACACTGCATGAATGCCCTGGCTAGTACATAACTCAACATACTATGAAGGATATTTGCGATTATGAATACTGACATCAATGGCTTGAACCTTGTAGAGATCAAAGTCAATCTCATCAAAGATCATTTTGGTTAGTAGTGTATGAAAATATGAAGCATACTATATGAATTCACTTGACACTATCTCTGGCTTTGAACTGCATGTCTAATAAGGTAAAGTAATGGCATAGTGATCTCCGAGTTCCATTTCTATGATGCACAAACTCAAACCAATTGGATTTCATATTTTTTACTGAATAATCAGGAATTTATGCAGACCTGCTCAGAGGGTAATTCAGTCAGAAAAATATACAAGTGTCACAATAATGATTCAAAATCTCTCAATTCATTCTATTAACTGATAGGGTCCAGCCAACTTGTATTTCACTGACAACAGTACCTGAAGGAAGAGGCATTCATGCATAATTTGAAACAAAAAATGAAACATAAATATACGCAGTCACAATGCCTCTGTACATAACATGACAAAAATCCCAATATGCTGAGAAAGAATTTTGCATGGAATCTAAGAAGATCTCTGTTAAAATTCTGACACTGAAATTTACTAACACTATGACATATGAATTTTAGGGTAACATTATTAGTTACAAGGATCTTTGCCAGGTAGTATGGGATGGTAGAGTCCGGTTGACCTGTATTTCCCCGAGGCCATAGTAACACAGATTCAAACAGGCCATACCATCCCATACCATCCCATACTACCTGGGAAATGGATGTATAACAAATTTATTACCCTTTAGAATTTTAGGTGCTTTTATTTGTGTTTTCCGGGACCGTTTTCATCCATCTCTCTTCTATTTCTGTCACAGTATGGTACACAATGAGTCTCACCATGATTGTTGCCACAGACGAACATCATGAACGACATTCAAAGGGACTTGTTCTTTGAAATATTACAACCATCTATCTTTAGGCCAATTCTGTTTCCTTTATATTCTCAAAAACATTTTATAATAAGAACTTTTTGTGATAATGATAGTTGAATTCTCCAAGCCAATTGGATTTCAATGTCAAAGGTAGCAATATCTAAGGTTGAAAACTGTCATGGTCGTCCATACTACCTGTTGGAACAGGGTAAGATTGATTCAAACTATGTGTGATTCTTTTGAGTACAGTTTTATAAGCACTGGCTATTAACTAATCAAAAGTCTTCTAATTTATCTGAAGGGTAATAATAAGTGATACATTCTCCATAATCCACAGGCATTTCAGTGAAAAACGTGAGTAATTTGCCGCTGGCAAAACAAACAGAATATGCATGACAAAATGAAGAATAGATATGTAAAGATAGGATCAAACTCAACCATTGCTTCAGGCACTTAGAGTGAACTAGAATCATCAAAAATAGACTAGCTTTCTAATGTTTAGCTACAGGCATTGAGCAGCAGATGCACTATGGCTGTACAACATCCATCTTCCTTGGAAGAAGGACATGTTCTTGTCTTTCAACCCGATTTGTACTTTAAAAGGACAGTACTCCAATAGTCCTTTGGTTTTATTTCAGATAATTTCCAAGCGTGACGTTACACCTCCAATTCAAGCTGAGTTCAATTCTCAAAGCAAAACAACAGAGCTCCCCACAGCAGAGTTGACAAGGCAAGAGTGAGTGAGTGAGTAAGTTTAGTTTTACGCCAATTTTAGCAATATTCCATCAATATCACGGCGGGGGGACACATGAAATGGGCTTCACACTGGAGAATTAAACAAAGTCTATGGCATGACAAGTGTACGCTTTAACCAATGGGGTAACCCCAGAGCCCCAACAATGCAAGATACATCATGAAATGTTTAATATCCGAAAAACTATTTCTACATGTGTTTAATCCCCATTGTGCTGTGACTGAAGACTGCAAAGAGCAAGCAAGGAGGTTACTTTGATGTGAAACCATATTGCCATGCACCTCACCTATCATTATTAGGGCTGTGTATTTGCAAATAAACTGCATTGCAACATATTTTGATTCAGGTACTGTTATTGTGATACATATTGTGATATATTTGGATCTAAAGTGTCTTGTGAAAGGTTAATACACTGTTCCTTTTACAAACACACTCAGCAATATTCCAGCTGAGAGTAAATAATAGTGAGCTAAAACTTAAAGTCACTTAGGCAATATTTCAATCTTATTGTGACCAGTAAATAATATAACTTTATTATAAGTATGGACCAGACAATGGACCAGACAATCCTTGAAATGAGCAGCAACATCCCATGCACTTTGAGTATGATCACCCAATATCAGCTCGTGTGAAAGCCTGAAACTCTGATCCATTAACATGTCTCTTGAGACCTGCATAGGTTGCTGGTAACCAATGCTAACTTGGGACAGGTCATGAATAATTCAATGGCTGTATGTATATGCATATGGAGATGGGCAACTGTCGCACACACACACGTACACACGCACAGATGCACATGCACACAGACAGACACACACATGCACCTACACACACACGCACGCACACAGATATGCAAATGCACATGCACCTACACACACACACACACACACACACACACACACACACACACACACACACACACACACACACACACACACACACACTCACACACACACACACGCACTACACACACGCACGCACAGCAGGAGAGACAGTGGTTTCGATGGTAGATTACCCAGGTCAGAACAAAATAGAATATCACCTTTTCACCTTCTAAAAAGAAAGACGAGGGGAGTATTCAACATATTCAGTGACAAGTGGATCACAAGTGTATAAACAATATGGTGGAATGTTTCTCTGTACCTGTTCTCAAATCATGCTACGAGTGAAAGAGTGAGTGAGTGAGTATATACCACTCTGGTTTAATAAAAATATATATATAGATATGGTGCTTAAACCCTGTAATAATAACTGAATTAGAGTGAATCATCAGATTGGAAATCATGTTCATAGGTTTCTACTATGCCTTTGTGATGTAAGTAGTGCTGTAACTTAAACACATAGATCACCCATACACCTTGCTGGCTCAAGTTACATAAATACTGTATCATATTGTGATTGTAGGCCTCTTAAGTTGTGAGAACTGTAGTCCTAGATCTGGCAGTCCATGAAAGAAAAAGCCCAATGTAGTTGAGAAAGACATGTTAGTTCACTAATGATTCCTTTCAAAGCCTATTGTAAGCATTAGCTAGTCACTAACTCTGGGCTACAGCCACAGTAAAGGAGTTGTGTATAGGGCAACATCATGTCGGAATCTGTATCAGATTGTGACAATTCATATCACCCGAGTTTTCCACAATAAGGGGATTCTGGGGTCCAGCTGTACTATTTGAATACAGGGCATAGCTGATTCTTTTACTCATAACATTAGGGTTAAGACAAGGATGCCTTGACTTATACACTTAATTTCCAAACATGGCATGATATCAAATAATCATATCATATGTCCCATATCAAATCTCTAATGTTGAGCAATTCACTGGTTAACCATGAACATCTTTGATGTATTTATTACATTGATCTTCAAACATCCTACATTTAGAAAGATGAGTTGTTAACTGCTCCATAATCGTCATTAGGCACTTTTCTTAGATCAGGGATGGCAACAGGAAAATCTATTTTCAGCTGAAAACTTAATATTGTGTCATCGAGTTGAGAATTCTCAATGGATTTAGACGATTCACAATTGAACAATTTGAAATAAAATCCGGGAAATCTGCGGAAAATTGCCATCCCTGTTAGATAATCAAAAAGACGTCTAAATGACCGTTAAAGTCATAAGTCAGAAATTCAAGATATCCTAATCACAATTATATGTTTACAAAGGAATACATGGAGAACATAAAAGAAATATCTTTACATTCCACAGTGGCATTAAATATTTAACTGAAAGTACAATACTCCAAGAACGATTTCAGGAAAACTAACACAGCACATACTCCAGGCCGAATCTTCACTACCAATACATAACATCCAACAGTCCCTGAACTCGGCCATGTCACAGCTCACCTGGAAACCAACCCATCAACGCTGACTGAAAAGAGGCAGGGACTGTAGCGAGACACTCTATACAGTCCTCCACTGACAAACTTTACCTTAGTCTTCAGGAAATCAAAACAAGAATGCATATTCCCATGGTTGGTGTATAATATCCTCTTCTATGGTCATGGTAGTGACCCCGACAGTATCCCTCCTCTCTCCTCCACGTCTACCTTCAATCCTCATCACCACATAACTAATTTCACGTCACACCTGCTGGCCGGCTCAAACAAAACACCCCACAATTAATTCTTTTGTCAACTTGTTGCAAAGAATCCACCCATCACGGCAGCTGGAGCTCGCCTGTAGGGCAGTCACATGTTAACCCAATAAACCAGTCGTTACTCGCTTTCATAGGCCCACGACTTGCACGGAATCTCTCGCCTGTTACCTATATGAATTGGAAATTCAATACAGTATAGCAGATAACGACAGTATGGCTCAGGTAGTACTAATGCCAGGAGCGATCTGCGTGAGCTGCTTAACAAGAGCAGCAGTGCTGTATCTATAATGTGAATACCTGCGACTTGATGTCACCATCCATCACAGAAAACCACGCCAGATACCTGAGGAGAAGCCCCTGTGGCTTGTCACAGGAGGCAGCTGAATGTCACACAGGGCTCCCTGAGGACCACAAGGGATCACAGCAGATCACAGCAGTGGATATATGGTGTAGCACCACCGCCCAAATTACCTGATAAAACACTTGAAGCCCTGAAAGAATGTTGACCCTGTGGAGAGCCCTTGGACGTCAGAGGGACGCCTATCTACCACTGTTTGATACAATAACAATACACACGCTGGTCTGACAGAAATACAAAAACTCTCTGGTCACTCGTACTAATTATTCGATATGCTTTTATTTCATGTGGTTTGTTCATGTTGTTGTCTAAAACAACCAATATTGATGTCCATTGTCACTATGTTGGACAGTGGAGTTGTGTCAACAATGGTCAACATTTCCAGGATTCTGTCAACAACAAAATCTCCTGGATAATCTCCTAGTTTCAATACCTTTGTGTGCATTTGAACTCCACAGAGTCTGGTACATTGCTGCTGTCTGCGAGACAAACATCCAACACAGCGATCCTAGCACCAACCTCAACATCACTACTACCTTGCTATTACCAATGTTAAATCTGATGTGTTTAATACAATCAAACATTACCCACATTAGACTATTCTCAATAATATGCAATATAGACAGACAGAAAGTTTTATTCATAGGTACAAACATAGGGTGAGTGAGCTTACTTTTATGCCCCCCTTTACAAAATCATGGCAGAAATGGGCTTCACACATTGTACCAATGTGGGGAATTGAACCCGGATCTTCGGCATGACGAGCAAACACTTTAACCACTAGGCTACCCCACCGCCATAAGGCCAACTGTACAGTTACATTTTTAAACAAATGTTCATAGCACCTGGTAGCAAATAACACCACACAGATAGCCGTAAGTTTCACCCTATTTAAAAATGGCATTAAGTAAGGTATACCTAAGACATCAAAACAAAGAGAATAAAGTCTGTCATTTCAAATACCTGCAAGCAAAGGACTAATCATCATTCTATTGCCTCCTTTACCTTTTGGAAATTGCAGAAGAACTCCATTAACTTTACATAAACAAATAACCTGCTAGCCTTTCAAACCAGATTCTACACTAATAATGACAATTTAAATGTTTGTACATTTCAGCCATATAGTGACCAAAATTGAAATGGGGTTGGGGTTGAAATGGGGGTTTTCATTCTTTGAAGTTTTACCTGTAGTATTTCAGTTAAGGTTCACCTCAAAAATAATATTCTTAACCGGACTTTGACCCTGTGATGTCCAACCAAAATTCTGATCACAAGGATTGCCGTTAAGTCAGCTACTATCTGAGACAGCTTGTCAAGTTTCAATATTCACTGTGTTACGTTCCCTTTTATGATGTGTGACCTGGCAGTGTTGGTTGTACATCAATACCAGGATGTCCTATGAATGATTCATCTTGCTACCAGCTCTACTTCCTGCCAGAGCCACGACAAAGACCAGAGATCTTTTGTTGCTATGGTGATTAACAAGCCTTACAAACACCGACGCCTTGTTAAGTCAAATGGATTGCATAATTACTGATACGATTTTCAAATGAATTGATCGCAAACATTTATGCATTGAGAAGCTCAAGCAGCAAGTCATCATCTATTCCGTATCCAACAGAAATAATCTGACAAGACAAATCTGCTGAACGCTTTTGTTGAATAAACATGACCTACAGGAAAATTAATCGAATGACAAAGATTACACAACAAAGATCTTCTTTGAATTTGTTTCACTGGAACAATCAGGAAATCACAGTTGATCCACAACGCACGCACATTGATTTTGCTAAAAACAGTGCAAGTGTGAGAGGTCTACTCAAACAAGGACTGAGTAAAGGTAACATATAATGTCTAACCTTATAACCAGCTTGCAAGGCTTACACATACAATGTACTTACTAAACATGTTAAATGGATGAACTCAAATACCTGTCCACTCCCACATCCTGATTTTCAGTATAACCATTGAGAGCCATGGACTACTCAATGTTTCTGACATATGAAATCTATCATCAAGATAAAGTACACTAAATATGCCAGTGAACTTGAAATGAAAAAAACAACAACCTTAATCCTCAGAATATCCTACCTGTTGATTATTTTACTTTGAGTTTCATACTGTAGATTTTTTGTTTAACTTTACAGGTGAGAAAAGGTGACATTACAAGCGTTAAAGAGAGTGAATCCAGTCAGTAATATTCTACAATTTTAACAGACCCTGTAAATGATTGAGCTTCACACATACACACCAACTAGAGATTGATCACCTGAAGAGTAATACTGCTGTGTTCTCGTGAGGTCCTCTCCACCCCACCCCCACCTACACACACATGCTTCACTACTGTGATGAAGACTGAAAAACATATCTGTAGGAAATATACATGCATAACCATTTCTCTATGTTGCCCAGTAAACATGAGAATGAAGAATATGATGAACACATAAATATTCCATGTATTTACATACGTCACTTGACAACAGCACCCTTGAGACTTTAACCAATTTCTTGTGTAAACTGATAGGCAAAAACACCACCAAGACTAAAACTTAATATTCACCAAGGGATTCACCATGGAACACTTAAGACACCTCCGAGAAGTCACCTACCAGTACCAGTTCTAGTTGAGTAGTGCTGTCAACACACCAGGTAGAGAAGTGCCACTGAACATGTAGCTCCACATGTCAAGCAGTGGAGGAGCTTATGCCGTATATCCCAAACACTGTTTCTACACTGAACATTATCAGAACAAAGTACACACGCTACTTGCTTGGCCACCTCATTCTCCTTAATCATACTGAAGTATTGCTGATAAGCAACTGTAGTTTAATCTTTGAAGCATTTCTCAGTTAAATAAAAAGTGCTGATAAGTATTAAAAGTCTTGTAACATTTGAAGGTTGTTTAAACACGATGTGTAACTAGGGGTGGGTTGGATGTCTTGTATCAGGCACTGTTTATAACATAGCCATCAGAACACTTTGACAGTACTTGTCATGTCATTAGTTTTGTAGAAGTTAGGGTAGTAACATTAAACATGCAATGTAAAAAGCATGCAGGATGGTGTGTCAGGAACCTGTGAGTGAATGCTGACTTCATGACGCAGACAGCAGTATTCAAGTTATATCACATACGGTAGCTTCTGATAATGTAGTGTGAGCCAGACAAACATGTGATTGATACTAGGAGCAACTTTTCACATCATGCAGTGAGCTGAATATGGTTTTACGATGCTTTTAGCAATATTCTAGCAATATCACGGTGGGGGACACCAGAAATGGGCTTCACACGTTGTACCCATGTGGGGAATCGAACCCGGGACTTTGGCGTGACGAGCCAACGCTTTAACCACTAGGCTACCCCACCGCCCCTTCATATCATGGACATAACATGACATGCAATCAACCAAGCAATCTTAAATCAGACCTTACACTCCAAAACAATACCTGCCTGGGTGAAGATTAGACAAAATTGAAAATCTCATTAACTGAGTGAGTGAGTGAGTGAGGCTTTTTGCCCCTTTTAGCAATATTCCAGCAACATAATGGCAGGAGACACCACAAATGGGCTTCACACATTGTACCCATGTGGGGAATCAAACACGGGTCTTCAGTGTGACGAGCGAACACTTTAACCACTAGGCCACCACTGCCCTCCAAATGAATTGAGCCAATCAGCTTCCCAATTCTGTAGTGATTTTATTCCACCTCAGTACAGAATTTGGAGAACAGTACAGAAATCTAGGCAAATAGCAAAAGACACTTCCATAGAAAATAAATACAAGAACATCCTTTAGAGTGGCACTGTGAATCAAAATTCATGAAACCTATATATACCACAGCTATTACATTGTTGAATTCTAACACATTGATTATCTTCTTTTTCTGAGGTACAAACTTCAGATATGTTTACCTGAAAGAGTTGCTCACTCGTTATAAGAATTCAGAAACCTCAACTCTTGATGTGAACTCACCTTTTTATAATTGTACTGGTACTAAAGTATCCTTATATGGACACATGACATATGACATAACTAAATGCCAGAGACCAGCATCTTATTCATCGTTGTGATTGCATTAGGATTGAGGTGAGGTGAGGTGAAATTGGGTTTAACGTCGTGCTTGAGAATATTTCGCTCATATGATGACGTGCATGCGTGTGTATGTGTATGTGCGGCTGCTTGTACTAGCCCAGACTTAAGCTGGTTTTATAGTGCTAGGCCACTGAGATACCATGCCGCAGTGAAGCATGGATACCCCACTCAGACACATTATATTGACTCCGAGCCGACCAGTCCTTGTTGTACCCATTAATGCTGAGCGCCAGGCAGGGACCAACAAGTACCATATTTTAACGTCTTTTGGTATGACGCAGTCGGGGATCGAACCAGCGACCTTCTGCTCTCCGGGCGGACGCTCTAACCACTACACCATGGAAGCGGTCGCATTAGGATTGAGAGACCTATAGCATGTATAGGAAACATGATTCATTTAGTGTAACATACACCGGTATTGCAGCGAAACTGATGCTGAGTGTCAACACCTTAGACTCTTACTCCACAAACAAGTGAAGCAGTCCACAACAACAAGTCACAACACACCTACTGTACTTTAGGGTCAGA